GTAGAATAAGTTGTTAAATGTTGTGTTTCAGTACACTAAGTGAACGACWACTTTGTGAAAAAAAATAATATACGATGTTAAAATTGATTGACCATTTCGTGAAATATTTTTGAATTTCACAAAAGTGTAAAACACGTGTTTCACTGTTTCCATTTYACGAAATGGTCATCTTTTCGTGAAAAAATCGATTTCACGAAGTGGTTACGACATATATAAAGCGTTAGTAACGTACTTGCTGCCTACCTATATGTATACTGCTTCAAATGTCCTCATATTTCAAACTTTTTTATCRAAAAAAGAATCTGTGTACCTACCATAATAACAAAACGTAATTAGGTTAGGTACATATCATGTAGAATATAATAGTATAATATATCGACTTGTCGATCTCTGCATTCCGTGGTGTAACAGTAGTGCRCCTCGGAAAAGATGACGGTTGTCAAAACCAATATATTATTATGTCGTACTATAGTAGTACTTCATCGATTCCCATTACCTCGTATTACGGGTTGTAACCCGTGTACGTAATATAATATACSGCTAGACCGAATTGGTTTTTTTTCCTGTGGAAAACCGATTTCCGTTCAAGACGACATACTCATTTTCGCTGGTTCTTGCCAGGCAGAATAAAATCAAAAAAAAAAAAAATCACCGGCAACAACGTCTAAAGCAAAAAACCCATTTGGTCCGTTGACTATAATATTGTATATTATACTCCGCCTGCTAGAGGGTTGACAAATCTAACCCCTGTATACGCTGCAGCGTAAAAGCAAACACGTCGAATAAATTGTGCGTGCGTGAAAAACACCGTACTTATATATATATACACACATATATATATGTATATACATATATTATGTGTGTGTGTTTTGCGTTTGTGGAAATATTTTTCCGTCGGAACAAGTCGCGATTCAATATTTACACACGGGGAAATTTATAATTTCCTCCCATTCGAGCAAATACGGTGTAAAGTCCGGAAACGCTGACGCAAATATACCTAACCTCGGAATTGCAGATACTGATTTTTATATTTTCATATCCAGTCAATGTATTTAATATTACGTCCCGTCCCTCGGATTTCAATAAATGAACAAATAAATAAATCACGCATGATATTAACCGATAGCTGTATCACTTATATACTAGTATAAGTTATAAGTTATAAATAAAATATATTTTTTAAAAATGTATGGGGATGGACCGGTTACTTATAATGAGTTGTAAATTGTAAGTGGTTACTATTCGCAGTTACAGTTACTTAATTATATTAAAATACATAACTGAATTAACCATTTATGTTTATTTCGTTAAGAAAATTATTACCTACATTAATAAATATTTGTTTATATGAGGTGTTCATGAGAAATAAATAAGACAAATATATTATGTAGTGGTGAAAAAGCAATATCTCGTGGATCAAAAAGTCAATTTTCAGGTGACATAATATATTATTATGTACATATTTTTTATGATTGCCCATTATTATTTGTTTGAATAATTGTTTTTTAAAATAATAAGTACCTACGAGGTCATCCTATATAAATATTATTGAMTTACTTGTATTTAGGTCATATCTTCAGATGATGATGATAAATGTAACATATTATCTTGAAGTAGAAGTGGTTTGTTGAATATTTTTTCAATTTTGTTATGTAGAGCTTTTTCTGTTGAATTGCATTTTGTATGGAATTAATTAAATTTTCTTTGATGTAATCGGCTTAGTAGTATGATATTCTCGATATCATTGTAATGTGGCTGGTTTCACATGAATCTAGAGGCTCTGAGAACTTATCTCGATTTTTTTTTATTATTATTTACGATTTATCAATAATTTATTTTTGTTTGAGATGCGCAGATATTATACTCTAGATTTATTTATTTGAATGATAAAAAAATACCAAACACAATAATAACGCTTAATTATACAATATAAGTAAATGCATAATATCATAATCACTAATAAGTAATACCTTTAATATTGATGTAATTATAATTATAATATGTATTCAATAAAATATCTAAGTAATATTTTACTACTCATGTACCCTATTCTTATGTTATTATATATCCATACGTATAACGTATTAACATAATKGTTAATTATGTACTTTCGCCATAATAGGATCGTAGCATCTAAACGATAGAAAAGGAATGGGATGCTATCATGYAGCAAATCTATCCTTCTTTCTCTTAACTCCTATATCTTTTCATAAAAGAGATGTATCCAACGGTAATAGTTATTTTAAGTTGCATTAAATAATCATCTTTGAATATAGGATACTACCCATTTTGACTATTATTCATCGGCTTAATTTAACTGTTCTTATTAGGTATAATCATAACAACTAATCGCTATTTTAATTTTATTATAGGTAGTATTGGGTTATGGATATAATATTTTGTGTTTTATTTTTTTTACATACATCTTTTATAATTATATCATAACAACTTTTTATTCTAATTCAGAATGTTATAAACATTTCAGAATAAATTCAAACAATATACTGCAAAGGTACTATTGAGGGTCAGCGATTCTCAAAAATCGAATAACATATCAAAATATAGATTTTTATTGGGTGTATTTATTATTGCAATGACTTTTAAATTTAATAAGATAGATATTGTAAGTTCCTATTCGCTAAACTCAAAAAGGTTTTTAATTGAACACTGTGGTGGTATACGAAAAACGATTCTGAACGGAGACGATTTATCTTTCTAGGATATATTATAGATTATTAAAAATTTTCAAATCTTAGATTTAAAAAGAAATTTTTTTATGAATTTCTAACTTAAAATAATTTGCAAATTTTCATTATTTTTACGTATGTTGTTAAACTTTGAATGCTTATAAAAAAAAATTGTGGCTACATATTTCTTTTATTTTTCAACTGATAATGTAAAAATATRCTAGGAGCCTTATTGTAT